TGGCATAGAATTTCCCAGGGAGGCTGAGGAGTGTCATCCTCCTATAGCTGGAACACATCCTCCGGTCCCACTTCTTATAGATGGAAACCATCTATAAGGAACCATCTATAAGAAGATGCCAATCCAGATTTACTGCCCCTGATCTCAACATTGTAGAGGCATGTCAATCAAGACAGCCCTAGAAAATCCAGACCCTTCAGGAACTCAGGGTTAACCTCATCCACCCCAGGGGCCCTATCTCAGAGAAACTCACCCCCAGAGCTAGACATGGCGTTTCTAAACTCCTCCAACTACCAAGTTGTTGCTTCAGCCACTACCTGAGCTGCATTCCGCTTGGCATATCAGTACGTACTAGCTGCCTCTGAAGTCCCACAGGAAAACCAAGCCTGATAGCACTTCTTCAGCCTGGTGGCTCCATTCACCTTTGGTTTCCACCATTTGGTTTGGGGGTTCATTTGGACTCAGTGTCTCCAGTCTCCGTCGGAATGCTGCTGAAGCTCTGTGAGTTGAAGATCTCGCTGATCAGGGTCTCTGCTAGGTGTTCCTAGCACACCCTCACTATACATTTAGGTATGCCAGGTTTGTCCAACATGCTCCCCAGCCACCTGATCCAACTCACCACCAGGTGGTGATCAGTTGACAGCTCTGCACCTTTCCCAGGCCTGGCTCCAGAGTGGGGCCCGAATAACATTATCTCAGGCAAGGTTAAATGTTCCCTTGATCTTCTACTCATAGGAGTCTTTTGACCATTCCCAACTAAACTACAACCTCACCAAATGCATATTTAAACATCACCTTGATAAATATTATACAGTGGAACCCCGACTTATGAAATTAATTTGTTCCTGAGGGTCTTTTGTAAGTCGAAAATTTTCGTAAGTCGAAGCACCCATCGCACGTTTTGAGTGAGGCGATGCTGAATGATAGGCTATAGGCTAAATGCTAACTAGAACAACAATATTTGTTCAAGTGGAACAGCGAAGCGCAATCACGAAGGCCAAGGAGTTGTCACATAATTCGGAAGGCATTGTGGGCATTGTAGGCTCAGCCAATCAGAGCCAGCGGATTTGATTACACGGGCATTTTGCCGTAACACGGGCAGAAATATTGCAGTTCAGTGCCTTTGTAACTTGAATTTTTCATTAAATTGGGTATTTCTAAGTCGGGGTTCCACTGTATTTGGACTTATTTTATTCATATTACACATTTAATACTTGCAGAATTGCAGAATTTGCAAAATCATTTTTACAAAAAAATTTACAAATTTACATGAAACAAAATATTTTTCAGATTTCGATTTATTCTGAAATGAATGTTTTTGTGTAGTTTACAAATAAAAGAAAACTGTGTTGAGCATGAAAGTGAATGTAAAGTCTAATGAGCTATATCAGTTATTAAATTTGATCGGTTCTTTATTATAGATAATATGTGCTGATAAATCCCGTGTAAAACATGTGAGGGAACTACTGTAATAGACCCTGTAAATAAGATGTAAATAAAGAGGATATAAAAAATTAAAAAAAAACGCAAATCAAGGACACTTTCCTGGCACAACTACACATCATTTACATTTACAGTTTGTCATGGCACTCTTCTTGTGAAACAGTCAAATGCAGCGGCAGCAGAAACACTGGATCATTTAGGGGGGGAAAAAACAAACAAACAGATGATGCTTTAGTTCACAACAGCCTTTTCTTCAAATTTAACAATGAATACAAATGAGAAACAGGTTTTATGTATTGCTTAATAAATTAATTCTTTTTTTATTATGACAACTTACTGGAATCATATTAGATTAATCTAATCATCCTGTGTGATTAGAAAGAGGACCATTAGGGGATCCATTGGCCCTCTTGGGGGGACTCTCCCATAGGGCTTAAATCTGGGACTCCCTACCATTTGACCTTAGAACTGAAGAAGTTTCTCAGATGAGAGGTGAAACGTCTTCAAGCAACTTAAAGAAGTCAGATGCTTTTCTTTCCAAGCTCCTTAGACTGTTTAAGTTGTTATACCATTTGTTTATTAGCAGGTTTTAAAATATTTTTCAGCTTCACTATCTCTAATACAATTATGTAAAATGAAACCTCAAAACTTAAATAATTATTTAGTTAACTTTTTGGTGATCTAACTTCATTGTCATTGCTTCTGTTGTTACAGGATGGGCTCAAAATTTTCCCCATGGTATTCAAAATGGTATTGAATATTTTCCCACCATGGGGTTTGAAATCCTAGTATTGTGACAATCCTATTTCCTACCACGCAGTGATTGAAGCTCTCCAACATCTTGCTGCACTAGGTAAATGATCCAAGTCTGCGCATCTACTTCTTATACACAGTATCAATTTTGGTCTTCCAGTCAAGTATGTCACAGTGACTTACTGGATGTGTGTTACCACCCCTAGAGGACTTGTCTTATTATTTACATATGAAAATAAGGTCCAAGACTAACCATTTAAAGGGTGGTAAATTCATTGCCTGTATTCATATGTGGAGCATTCAGATCTCAACCTTAAAACAGTTTTGACCAAACTTGTAAGTATATCTTTATATTTCCAGAATTTGAGTGTTTCAAAACATTTAGATTTTGTTATTGTGCCTTTTTTTTTTGCCTAAATTATAGATAGAACAATATGCACTTATTCTATTGCATATATTATATGTTAATAAATGAAGAGTGGTTGTCTCTTTTTAGTTATATATTGACTAATAATAAACAGATAAAAAAGAAAGATCATTTCGTCAAACTCCCGAAAATACAAAGATAACGGCTGTTAGGGTGAATAAATCTGGGGTCTGGACTGACTTGAAGACATGATTTGGGAATTCTAATTTCCAAATTTTCACTATTTTCTGTTATTTCTATTGAAAAAAAAACTCATCCATACAATACAAACTTACACTGATCAGTCACAACATTAAAACTAATGAAAGGTTGCATGATTAAGACTGATCTTGCTCTTTGTGTAGAAAATTGGTGTGGCAGCTACTTCAACCATTATCCCTGCCACACCAATTTTCTACACAAAGAGCAAGATCAGTCTTAATCATGCAACCTTTCATTAGTTTTAATGTTGTGACTGATCAGTGTAAGTTTGTATTGTATTGATGAGGGGTTTTTTTGAAAAAAAAAAAACACCCCAAAAACCTGTCTGTGAGGCTAAGGCAGACGTGTAAGACGTGTAAGGCGTGGGGGCCAGAAGCTCCAATCCAGCCTAACTGACATCTTTCAAAAATGTGACAGAAGGTTTAAATTTTGTACTCTTTAACGTAATCGACATAATGAAGTAATAGATAAACAATTAAATGACAGGAAAGTTTCTATTTTTTTCCACAAGCTACTATAGAAATTCTGTTCTTTTTCTTTTGTCTAGAGTAAAATAAGTAAATAAATTATTTGTCTGGGCAATAAGACTGTTAGAACAACTTTTACTGTAATTTTTAAACATTTATTTCTTACTATTTAAGTAAGTAATGTAGTGTGTTCTCATATTATGTTCTTTTTTATATATTCCCGAAGAAAACTTTTAAAGTCATTATTTTCTGACTTTATTCTCATTCTCAAAAGCATGCTATGTCATTCTTTTGTGGATTAACACATCAGAGAAAACCGGGAACAAATATAATGAAAAGTGGCTTTAAAGTTGTTGGGTTTTTTTGTTTGTTTTTTGTTTTTATTTGTGTTGACCTATGTTCCTCCTCTCTCCAGTGAAATCAGAAATGGGTTGTTTCCCAAAACTGACTCTCCTTCTCTTTGGTAAGATCCCCAAATTTGCATAATGGAAATGTGTGATTTGAATTGTAAAGTTGAAAAAGAAGCCTTAGCAGGACATTTTCCATTACCTCAGAAACAGTGTGTCAAAAAAATCTTATGTTTCATTTTATTAAAACTTTGAGGAGGTGCAAAGAGGCATTGAATGAACCCCTACAAATGGCCTCTATTCCTCAAAATTAAATATATAAATCTAAAGCTATAATTTTGACTCTGTGCATAACATGAGCTACTCCCAAGCAGACACTGCCTCAACTTTCACTCATACGTTTTCATGAACAAGAACTTTACGTCTCTCTTCTAATATTTTATGAGCATCTGCTCTCCTCCATGTGTCTGTTTCAATGGAGACCAGCAGAGCACACATAACCACGAGTTGAGTAACATTACTTTTATGGGGAACTTACATTAAAGGTAAAATGTGACTTAAGTTATTCAGCTACCTACAGAGAAAAGTGGCTTGTTGAAGTGCTTTCATGCAACTAAAAATAAAAACTGTTTTCAATTTAGCTTGCACGTCAATTAAGCCCATATGGGGGAAACATTGTCTCTTTTTATAGTCCTTGTCACTACCCTTGCTTCAGCATTTTGGATCAGCTGAAGGTTATGAAGAGATATTGTGTAAATGCAAGAAAGCATTCCAATATATGCTTATATACACAGAAGGACATATACTGGTGAAAAACGATTTCATGATTCCTCACAGTGTTACAGTGTTGGCCATTGTTATTTGAACTGGAATCCATAAAAGAGACCAAAATCAAGTCTGCAGGAGCAACTCTGCGCTGAGTTGCTAAATTCTAAAACTGAATGTTAGCTTTCTGACTAAATTGGAAAATATGCCATGGTTGAAATAAACCTGAATTATTGTTTCATCTTCAAGTAATCCAGCAGTTATGACCCCAGCAACAAAGTAAAATATGCTAGGATATGGCAATTCAATGGCAAATATTGAATTCAATATTGATCTTATAATATTTGGGCATTACTGCAACATTACTGGCCTCCTTGTTTTTATATTACCCCTGGTACTGGTACCCCTGTGTAGCCTGTAAATGTAGTTACAAAGATCGCACTAAGGGCTCTTTAATGTTTGTTTATCCTTTTCTTGTGTGTATTATGCAAATAATTAACTTAATACTACTTATACTATCTATTACCAATGTTAGGGTTTAGTCTCTGCTCTTGCTCAAAGTTCCCTCCTCGTAAGTACTACTACGTTGACAAAAAAATGAGCTGGAACGACGCTCAACAATACTGCAGAGAGAAGTACACAGACCTGGCCACCTTCGAAAACATGGATGATATAAGCAGGCTAAATTCAACTTTTTCCTACGACTGGGCATGGATTGGACTGCAGGATGATCCCAAGTCCTGGAAGAATACGCTAGGCAATGACACCAACTCCTGGAGATGGGCAGTAACTGGTGAAACGGGCAAAACTGTTTACAACAACTGGTACTATACCAATCCAGATAATTATGGTGGAAATGAAACTTGTGTAATAATGGGTCTTGAAGGAAAGTGGTACGATAAAAACTGTGGCGCAAGCACAAGTTTCGTTTGCTACAATGGTAAGAAAATATTTTCATTCATGGGTTTCTGACCTCACTAATGACTTAACCTGCATTTTTTACTAGTAGATTTCACAGAAAACATCACTGAAGATTTGTTGTATAAAATATAAGAAAACCCCTAACTCAAAAAGTTTGAGTAGTGATTTGAAAACATTAAATTGATTATCCAAATTTTTTACTCTTTCATTTACAATGTTAACTATTTGATATCCATAATAAATTCAGAATCATCTGTCATCTGCCATGATTACTTGAATGCTTAAACACTTTCTTTCCCGCTTACTGGCTTATTTTCTATCTGCTGCAGTTACAGAGCAAAACAAGAAAAATTACATGTACATCTCTATTACAAAAACATGGCCCTCTGCTCGAGAATACTGCATAAAACTAAGCATGGACTTGGCAGTGATCGAAAACAGTGAAGAGAACGCTGAGGTCAGTTCATTAAAACCAAACAATGATGCCATTTGGATCGGTCTGTACAGAGTGCCATGGACCTGGTCTGACAAGAGTCAGAGCTCCTTGGAAAACTGGCGAAGTTCCAAACCAGAGAATTATCTAGGTAACCAGTATTGTGTGGTGGAGAATAACCTCCACAAGTGGGATGACGACATGTGCACAATAAAATATGTTTTCATTTGCCATCAAGGTAAATGTTCAATAACACACACAAAACAAATAAACAAACAAACAAAAAAACATACCCTGACTAACAACAACTCCTGTTTCTCAGTTTGTCAAAACTTACTTTTATTTTTTGGTTACATGTTTCCTGCTAAGTTGCAAAGTTGAGGACGACAGTGAAGACTAAGTTTTTGACTGATGTTGACTTAACTGACTCTGCAATTAATGTCCAGATACTCCAACAGGTAAAAGTTTTGTTTTTGCTTCTGGAAAAATTTAAAGTAAAGCAAACAAACTACAAAGAAAAAGCAATGGATAAATATACTGACAGACAGCTTAAATAAAATGATGAAACCACCTACTTATCTTTCTATTCTGTCACAGCTAGGAGCCAAGCTAACAAATCAAGGATTGACTGATTTCAAACTGCAGTGGAAGATTCAACCCAAGAAACAAGAGAATGAGGAAAACAGAGAAACTTAGAGGAACTAGGTGTGTTTTGGATCACTGCTCAGCTTTGTAACCCAAGTGTGCTTAAGATTCAGGACAGAAATTGATGGCCAGATATTCTCCTTCAGGATTTTTGAAATTTTTAGACAAATTTTTTTTTTTCCAATGTTAAAATACAAAAAGTCATTCAGATACCAAAGGAGAAACTTTTAACTCATTAGTCCAAATGACATTTAAGGTGTTGGGGATTAACATTTTTTGTAGCAAATGCGGTGTATTGTGAGTAGTGAGTAGTGGTTCTCTCCTTGGGACATATTGGGACAATGCACTTTTGGAGTAATTTCGGTAGGCCAGCCATGCCTGGGAAGTTTCACCACTGTTCAGTTTTCTCCATTTGTGGATAATCAAGTTCATTTAAAAACAGTCCTTTGAACCTTGATAGCGGGATGTACATTGTCTAAAATTAAAAATTAATTGTGTAAAATATTTAAGTGTGGGAAATATGCAAAAAACTAAGGAATGCCAAAAGGGGAAAATTAGTTTTTCATGGCATTGTATATGAAACATATGCCTTAAACTTTGCCACATTATCAAAGAGATGATGATATGTTGCTGTTATTTAATATTGTCCCCTTTATTAATGTATTATATAAATTAAAAGAAATAGTTGACAGTAAACACAAAAAGGTTATTATATTCAGCCATGTTCATTGTTTTGTTTTTTTTGTTTTGTTTTGTTTTGCCTGTCCCATTTGGTTCTTTGAGCCATCATAATTGTTGTCTGAAGACCAACAAAGACTTATTTTGCCAAATGGATCATCGTGGCATTGCCGTATTGGTCCATTTGATCGACCTTTGTTTTTATTATTTATTTTCTTTTATTTTCAGTTGTTACAGACGGGACAGACATGAGTGAGGGATAGGAAAGGGAGA